AGCCCGGAGCCCAGCCCGGAGCCCAGCCCGGAGCCCAGCCCCGAGCCCAGCCCCGAGCCCAGCCCCTCGCAGTCTGGGGGCAGACGGGGAGCGCCATGCTGGCGGGGCTCCGCGGTTTTATTTGGTTTTCATTTGTTCCCCCCTCTCCCCCCCCAGGATCGCCCCTGCGTTGCTGAGGCAGGCGTCTTACGGCACCATCAAGATCGGCATTTACCAGAGCTTGAAGCGGCTGTTTGTGGATCGCATGGAAGGTCAGTGTCAGTAAACGGGTAAGCCAGCAGTAAACAGGCACCTCTCCTCCCACCAGCGGCGCCGTGACATCGCAGGCTCTCTGTGCCGCCTGGTTTTGCTCGTTCCTTTCTCTGTCCTTCCCAGCTATAGATCCCCACAGAACTGGGAGTTCTTGTTACTTCACACTGTGGTTTTAGTTGTGTGGTAATAGCAAGGATAGGTCGCGGTACCGACGTGAATCTCACTGCGCTCAGCGCTGCCCGCAGTCCCAAAACACCTCCCCCTCTGGCCAGGCCTCTCCCTTCCCCAGCCTTTATCTCTGCTTTGCAACGTCTGAGCCCAAAATTAAAAAAAAAAAGGTATCTCTGACCCAGGCTCGTCTCTCCTTTCTGATTAGTCTCAGAGAGGATGTCCCGTCCCGTCTGCGTGTCAGATGTGGTACGTGGGTTGAAAGCTTCAGGAGCGAGTCTCTCCTGTCCTCCTGCTGCAGCCTCGGCGCCCTTGTGCCTGAACGCAGCCCATCTGGGTAGAAATCGTACTGTTTGGCGCTTTGGCTTTGGCTCCGACCGTGGAGAGGGGATATGGTGAATGCTCTTGACCCGCGCCCCTCTGGTAACCAGGGGCCTCTGCCGCTCCTCCCTGGAGAGCGGAGCAGAAGTCTGGTACCCGTTCACTGACGGAGCGCCCAGATCTGCACGCGTGGTTTTAAACCTTGCCATGACACGAGTGGACATCGTAACGCCATTCCGACCTGGGAGAGCGGGGTGGGCGGTCGGGGCCGGTCGGCAGGGCAGCGAGAGGACTGGGATGTGCGGTGCCCTGGGGCTTCCTCCCAGGGCCGCTCTGGTGACGCCCCTCCCGGTGCTGGTTCTGGGTGTGTACGCTGGGCCGCCCGTCTCTCCTCGCTTGCTGTTGCGGCATTTCCAGTCGTGAGAACCGTTGTCTGAATGTTTGTCTCCCTACAGGCCTGGGGCAGCCAGTGGCCTGGTCTCCTCTGGGAAGTGCTGTGGTCAGTACCAGCAAAGGGCTGCGCCTTTTCCCAACATAACCATCACCCTAATACTGGGCCTGGAGGTCTTGGATTATTCCACCCACCCCTCGGAACTAATTGCATCTAACTTTCTCTGCCTGGGTCGCCTATTCTCTGTTCTCTCGAGGTGGCTGCGCCCTCTGAGCGTGGCCAGCTGGGGCTCCAGATCAAACCAAATTGGTGTCAGGTTGCCTTGAGAAGTGCTGGGTTGTCCCTCTCTGTCGTCCTCTGTCTTGGCTTGTCTCCATCATGAGAAATACATCACCGGACGCTGAAATCTCAGATAATTGTTCAAAATTTTCCTGTCTCACAGTCTTTTCCCTGTCTGATCAGCTAGACTGCTCGGTAAGGCCCGCTCCTCTCGGAGGGCGCGTTGCTGAGCGTTTCGGCCGCTGCCTTCTCTCTCCGGCAGCTGCGGGGACAGACCTGCCGTGAGCTGACGGTCGCTGCCCAGCCTCTGCTCGTGCACCTTCGCCATGTGATTGGCAGCCTGAGCTTCTCTGCTCTTCCCAGAGCTTCTTGCTTGTTCAGTACAGTCTGTGCACCTCCCCTTTGGGTCTTTAGGGTCTGACTCTCTGTTACTCGTTGCAGATGAAACGTTGCTAATCAATGTAATCTGCGGAGTGGTGTCAGGGGTGATCTCCTCTGCAATCGCCAATCCAACAGATGTGCTGAAGGTAAGAAGTGTACCTGGCCAGGGACAGCTCCTGGCTGCCCGTGCTGAGGGGCTCTCTGAGCCACTGCTGGCACCAGTTCTGCTAATTTGGGGGGTTTTATGAGTGGGAACAGCAGCCCAGAGCCATAAGCAGGTTTTAAAAAACGCAGCTCTTAAAAGATCGTGAAATCTGTTACGGCAAGGGGTGGAGGCTGTGTTGTCCTAACTGGGTGAGCGGGCTGGTAGCCAGCCATTTGTCAGACCTTCTCGGCTCCTTTCCCTTTGGTCACCGTGCCGTGCTCCGCTGACACTGCCGCAAAGTCCCGCTTGTTACACGGAGCGACCAGAGCCCAGCGGGGACTGCCTGGTCCCCTGTGTTCCCTGCTGGGGGGTTGCTGGGGTCAGGGTGGCTCTGCTCCGAGCAAAGAGAGCCTGGAGAGCTTTCCCACACTCCTCCCTGTGTAGATCCACCTTCTCGGGGTGGGAAGGCCTTGCCTGTCACTTCTCTGTCTTGTCCGAGTTCTGCACTGTGCTTCCACCCTGTTGCTGTCCCGGCTCCTCGCCTGCCGTCACCGTTCGCTGCTGGGTTTGCAGGGAGAGGGCGCGTGGGTGGCGGTGTCCGCTCCGAGTCGCTCTGTTGTTCTTCCTGGCAGGAGGGGGCCGCTGCGCCGGTGTCTCTGCCCTCCTGGGCGGGCGCTGATGCCGTCCCGCTGACTCTCCGTTTCTTTCAGATTCGAATGCAGGCTCAAGGCAGCTTATTCCAGGGTGGCATGATCGGCAGCTTCATCGACATCTACCAGCAGGAGGGTACCCGAGGCCTCTGGAGGGTGAGCACCAGCTGCTGGACACCCCCACCCCCCTCCCCCCAGCAGAACTAACAGCTTCCTCAACAAATTTGCTGCACCCAGGTGCAGCTCTTGAAGAGAACTGTGAACCAAGGGGAGTAGCAAAGTTCTGTTTCTGGTTACCCAGCAAATGGAAGCACGTCTGTGGCGGGGATTGGGTCCGTGCCACGGCAGCGGCAGCGCTGGGCCAAGCAGACCTGGGTTCCAGGCCTGAAGCTGGCGCGCGTAAAGTTTCAAAGACACGGGTGTCCCTCGGATGGACCGGCGCTGGGGGCTGGGTCCTCTCCGTGCTCTGCCTGAGCGGGGGTGCTCAGCCTGGTGTGTCAGTGGGAGGTGATCCTGCGCGCAGCGAGCGGGGCGGTTTGCCTTCTTCTGAATGTGAGCGGCTGAGCGCCTCCTCACGGGGAGGAAGAGGAGTTCTTCCAAGTGACCCGAGAGACGCTAATGCCATACAGTAACTTTCTGCAGTTCCAGAGGGACAGATTTGCCCTGTGTCCCCTCAGTCTTAGACGCCTTGAAACTTGCCCTCTGAGCAGGCAAGGAGTAGGATGGAGCGGTGGCTTTTGGGGAAGCTGGTGATGCTCTTGGGCTTGAGGACAGATGGGAGTTACCAGTGCTCAGGCCTCACTGTTTGGATTTTAGCAGCGGTTCCTTGGCTCTTGTTAGAGAACCTCGCTTTGTCCTTCCATGACAGACCGGCAGTCTGCCGAGTCACGAGGTCAGGTGTGGGAATTGCAGGATCCCAATGCTGTTTTCCAGGCAGCGGTCCGATTTCTCCCTCTTACGGTCACCGAGGTCCTTTACAGAAAGACAGCCGCTGCAGTGTCCCGTGTGGGACGGGGAGGAGGAGTCAATCAACTGCCAGTGGTGACACCAATACTTACTTTGAGATTATTTCTGCTCTCTAGACAAAGACACTCAAGAGGGGAGGAGAGACCAGAAAAGAAACGAAACCCTCTGTGTTGCTGATGCGCGCTGCAGGCAGGACACGGTGCAGAGACAGATCAGTCTTGAGGTGGATTCCAGTGACCGAGCTAGTCTGGCTGCTCTCTGGCTGGGACAACTGCTGCTCCTCCCTCCGCTCTGCCCTTGTGTTCAGGCAAAGACGTTCGTGCTCACCCGTTCTGGCATTCATCTTGCGGGGATTTGGCTCTGCCAGGGCTGGGTTAGGCAGGAACCCAGGAGGAGACTGTCAGGCGCTGCCTTAGCACAGCGGGCTGGGGACAGCAGGAGCTGTAAACCTGAAAAGTACTTTTACTCCTTCGAGGTGCTTTGGGTTTGTGTGGTGAGAAAGCTGGCTGTCCCGATGGGCTGGCTCGTACCTCGGCCACGCCGAAGGGTCGCTCCCCGTCCCAGTGAGCAGGGAGCTTTCTCGTGACACCACGGGTCTCCCTGAATTACTCGGATGGTGCTGTGGTTCCTGTGAAGTGGCCCAACTCTGCATCGCTCCCACGTTCTCCTTGGTCTGCGAGCTGGTCAAAATTTGCGCGTGTTTTTATCTGGTTCCCAATGAGGGGTTTGCTGGGCTCTTTCTCAGACAGAAGGTAGCTGGTTCCTCTTACCCAAGCTCGTTGTCGTTCCCGTAATTGCCTTGCCGGTTCCCAGATCAATGTCCTGCGGCAGCAACTCTTGGAATACATGAAAATCTCCTAAATCAAAAACCGTAACAGAGCAGACTCTCCCTGCTGTTAGGTAGCGAGGAGGAGCTGGAGCCCCGCCTGGCTCCTTAAAGAGCTGCTCTTCGTGTGGTGCAGAATCTTCTCTGGTGTTGAAAGTGGTGGGTGCTGTTCAGTGGGGGAAGACGAGCGGGTTAGAGCCCGAGTCCTGTGTGCTAGTGGCTGGGAGGAGAGGAGCAGCGTGTAGGTAACCTACCTGGAGTAACGCTGCCAGGGCGGAGGAACCCTCCCTGGCTTTGGGGTGAAGCTGGGGGACGGCAAGCTGGTCAACCTGAGGAGCCACAGCTGCGAGATAGAGCAAGGAGGACACGAGGTAGATGGTCAGGAAAAGGCCCCTGGGGGAGGGAGCTGGGGGGAGATGTCACCCTGACGGCAGCAGTTTGCGCTTGCGTGTGACTGCTGCTTGTGCTCTGCAGGGTGTTGTCCCAACGGCTCAGAGAGCCGCCATCGTGGTCGGGGTGGAACTGCCGGTCTACGACATCACCAAGAAGCACTTAATTCTGTCAGGCCTGATGGGTGACACCATCTTCGCCCACTTCGTGTGAGTATTTGCTGCAGCCGCTCCGCTCCCCAGGCTTGGCAGGGGTGTGCGAAGCAGAGGAGCGAGGTGGGATTTGGGGTGAAGCCTGTTTATAGAGCGAGTGCTCTGGAGCTGCAGAGAACGGGCTTGGCCCTTCTGAGGGATCTGCTGTGTCGACTGGAGCGGCTCAGAATGACCAGCAAGTCAGAATCCCCAGAGAGACCTCCCTGGAGAAGGAGCCCGGCAGAAATCCCTTGGCGAGGTGCAATGTCAGCCTGATTTCAGCTCACCGACGACCAGAAATGCCGCTGCTCCATGCCGTGCCCTGGTATGAACAAGGCAGTTCTGGGTGCCTGACTCCCCGTAGTGATCTGCTGAAAGAGCTGCTCCCGTCCTAGGGCCCCATCCGTACAGACACTGTCAGCTTGCAGCCATTGCAATCACATAATTATTGCAATTACCATTTTTTTATTATTATTATTAATTGTGAGATGAACAGAGTCCTGCAAAGCTGGCCAGACCCTGAGCAATCTGACCAGGTTTTGATGTCAGCCTGCTCTGAGCAGGGGTGGGTTAGAGACCCCCAACGTCATTTTTCACCTACATTTTCCGATTCTTCTGGCAGACGCTTTAGCCCGAGGTGCTGCAGTGCTGCCGCGGGGTCTGCCTGCTGTGGGCTGCAGGCGACAAGCACCTGAGAAACGCTAGACCACACGTGGAGGGAGGAGACGAGCAGCTGCATGCTCCCTCTTGCTGCCTTTGGTCTTCCTCCCTCCTTCCCCGCCCTGAAGAAATGCTTGCGCTGGTGAGAAGGATGTGCGCTTCCAGGAGGCTGCCTTCAGGTCTGTGCCGCCTTGGCAGCACCCGGAGACGCTCGCTGGGCTGCAGGCTGCCCCCGCGGAGACCCAGTGGTGGGCTCTGGTGAGGCTCAAGGTTAGAGAAGGCCGAGCCTTTCCCTTCCCCGAGCTCTCTGGGGTCCGGAGGCGGTATGGTTCCTGCCTCCGCCTCTTTTCCAGGTGGGAACAGGTAGTGCAGCTAATGCATATTGCTAAACGCCTTTCGTGAAGTGTGGGGAACGGTACTGTCTTGTGCTTATGTCAAGGCCTGTCTGAGCCAGCATGGCCGTGTTCAGAGCTCTTCCTCTCTCCTGTTTTGGTGTAGTTCCAGTTTTACGTGTGGGCTGGCTGGGGCCATTGCCTCCAACCCTGTGGACGTGGTGCGGACACGGATGATGAACCAGCGGGCAATAGTGGGCAGCACGGAGCTCTATAAGGGCACGCTGGATGGCCTTGTGAAGGTAAGGGGGCGAGAGAGGTGGGCAAATCCCTGTCTTTGGGAGGCTGGCCAGATTCCAGCACCAGGCGCCGCTGTTGGGAGCAGTTAGATTCCACAGCGGCAGAAGGCGCTTGTCCCTGAGTGGTTCAGACAAGGCAGAGAAGGGCCTCGGGTCGCTTCCCTGCGTCGCCATCAGCTTGAGCATCCTCCCGGCCCTGCGGGACGAAGCGCTGCCAGTGATGCAGTTGGATTAGGTTCGTGTACTGCAAGTGACGCTTCGCCCACCGCCCTGCCTCCCGGCTGGCCTGCCTGCCTCCTGCAGCAGCCGCGAGGGGCCGTTAGATCACACGTGGGGCACAGCGCGGACCTGGTGCGTCTCCCAATTCATCTGTCTCCTCTCTCCTCCCAGACATGGAAGAGCGAGGGCTTCTTTGCACTCTATAAAGGTTTCTGGCCCAACTGGCTTCGGCTCGGTCCCTGGAACATCATTGTATCCTTCCGTGTGCTGCTGGGAGGCCGTGGGTACGGGCAGCGGGGGAAAACCAAGCTGTAAGGGGAAGCGCAGAGCCCACACCTCGATGGGGCACCTCTTCGCCTCCCCTGCGGCAGCCCGGAGCAGAGTCCCTGTCCCGCTTGGACAGACGTAAGCTGCGATGCGGCTGCTGCTGGTTCAAGTGCCAAAAAATGCCAAAATGGTTGCGATGGCTGCTTCTGACAGCTCTGCCGGTGGCCAGTGCAGGGACTCCCAGGCCTGCAGCACGGGTGGTTTCCTGTAGAGTGAGCGCTCTCCAGTGCTTGGCTTCAGACTTTCCCTTTGGCCCGAGCTCCTGGAGGTGCTGCGGTTTCTGGACCAGCTCCCATTCCGTGAGGGAAGGCTGGGGAACGTTCTGCTCCGAGGCAGGCGCTGACCTGCTCTGCAGAACCAGCGCTGCCGTCTTGCTGTGCTAGATCCTTCTCGCCCCCTGAAACTGCATGCGGAATTTATTTTAAAGAAGTCCCAGTCTGGGGTGAGAGCCCCCTCCCTCTCTCGATGGCCTAGGTAAGCCTGGCCCAGTTTGCTTCTGGGTCGGTCTCTTCCCTCTCCTGGTGGCTCCGTGTCCTGCAGCTCTCTTCCACCCCTGCAGTTTATGCTGCCTGGAAGAGGGGCTTCCCCACGCTGGGCTTCAGCCAGACTCTGCTGATCCTCGGCCTGCCTTGCCTTGCCAGGCGCGGGCTGTCGTGTCGGGAGGCTCGGCGCAGCTGCCTTACGGGTTCGGCCCAATTCCTTGACCTTCCCTTCAGTTTTTTATCACGTACGAGCAGTTGAAGCGACTTCCCTTCTGAGAGCTGCCTTCGTTTCGCGAGAGTCGTCTTCAAGACTCGCAGCCGAGAGCTTTGCTGCAGCCTTCCTCTTCATTTCACCATCCCCAAGTTTCGGTGTTTTGGTACGTGTGGGTCTGGGCTCCCCCTCTCCCCCAAACGCACGGTCCCTGGAGCATGATCTGGCCGCCGTAGAGCTGGGGGGCTGGTGGCCGGCGCTGCATGGTTTGTCACGCGGAGGCAAGTGGTAACGGGGTGCACGTGTCTGGGCCCGAAGCGATATCTTCTGTGAAGATCCGCGCGTTCCAGTGGCCTTGCGGTGCAGCTGTGGTTTGGCGTGTGGCTCGCGTGCGTTTTTGTGCCCTGCCTGCGGGGTGAGGCTGGGAAGGGGCGCTGTCATGTTTTCTTGCGGAACTGTAACCTCATTAAATTATTTATTGACCGGATGGCTTGAGTTTGTGCGGATTTACTGCAGGTACATTCCGGAGCAGACGTGCGTCTGCCCGTGGAGGGAGCAGACGCAGGTTCTGCAGCTCGCTGTACGTTTTCCCCAAATATATACACACACACATATATAAAAACTCAAACTTTAGGATTCATTTCAATAGAAATGTTTCTAAAACAAAGTTTAATTGTTCGTGTCGGGAAATCGTGGTGCTGCACTCGTAGCTCCCTTAGCAAAACCTCAGTCTCTTCACCTTACTGCTTATATTTTGCTTCTCTCGCTCCCTGAAGCGAGGTAATGGGATTAGCGCTGAGCTCGGGTGTCCGCTGCCTTCAGGTGCTGGCTCTACCACTGCCAGTGCTCAGCAGAACACAAGTGAGATGTTTTGGGCACCCTCTTGGGGTTTTTTTTGTTGGTTTGGTTTTTTTAAGTGCATATGGCTATGAAAGCAAACGGCTCTTGTGTTCCTACTCCCTGTCCTCTCTGCGGGGCGGCTTTGGTTCGGATGGAGGCCCCTTGCGACGCTCGGCAGCTCTGGCAGCCTGCGAGCGCTGTAAGCTGAGATCCTCCCTGCGCAAACTGCACACGAGACGTTCGGCCAAATCCAGCCCGGACAGAAGAGAGAGAAGGGTTTGCTGTGGTTTTGCAAAGGCGGAGCTGCCTCGTGCCGGCTGCGCGTGTAGGGGAGGTGGCTCTGATACGCTCTTGGACTTAAATCATGCCCGGAACAGAGGCGTCGCTACAGGGCCACGGCGCAGAGGCTGGGAGGGTCGATTTCAGAGTTAAACCATACTTGGAAGCTGCCTGGAACGGGGAGCAGTGGGTTGGAAGCGGACAAGGCTCCTGTGCCTCCTCTGGCTTTACCCTGGAAGAGGGTTTCTAAATATTGCAAAGTAAATAAATACGTACCCGGAGGATGAACACGGGTCGATTCCAGAGGTGTATTTTAACTGCAGGCCATCACATTCTCCTGGTTTTCCTCCATGTCCCGGTAACTTTAGTTCTGGTTTCTTCGGTGCAGCTCCATGGGATGCTGCTGCTGCTGCTGCTGGTTTTGGGCTGATCCTCTGGCAGCTCTTTGGCATTTGCAGTTGCTGTCCTGCCCCGTTCTTGGGGCTGCTACGAGCTCCTCAGCAGTGCCGGACAGTGTCCCCACGGCCTCTTTGCTGTTTGCATTGCTCAGCTGTAAGGTGCCGGCGCGAGGCCCTTCCTCCCTCTCTTCTTCCTCCCGTGGGCTCAGCCCCCCTGGATGGCTTTGGAGACGTTCCCTTTGCTTGCCCGAGTGGTCCCCGGCCCCTGGAGATGTCCCTTATCCAAGCTTTGATTTCACCGCCGGTCATAAACGCTGCCACGTGTCGCGCTGCCTCGCTTTGTCAATGGTCACAGCAGGCAGACGTCGGGCGGTGGCGATCGCGATCTCCGGGGCTGTGACGGGGAGGTGGCGGCTGGTGGCGAGCACCCTCGCACCGTGCCAGGCGTTCCCTGAGGCGGCTCCTAAAGCCCTTCATCCCGAAAGCAGCTCACCTTTGCCACTGGAGGGGAGGACAAGCTGAGCTGCTTCAGGTTCCTCAGCTGGTAGAAGATGAGTATTTTGCTGGGCACTACAGAGTCCCAAATCCCAACCCGTGAGCGGCTTTGTAAGCGCTTGCGCGAGGGCGTAGCGCTGCCGGAGAGCTGGCACTTTCTAAGGAGGTTCATTGCCTCCGGATGTCCTTCCCAGAAGCGCTCCCTGGACGTCTGTTTGTCTTTTGTGCTCAAGCTTACGCGTTTCTCTTTCTAACCTTTTCCGTGCCGTGCCAAGTAACGCGTGGGAGTGAAGCTGAGCAGCCCGCACCTCGCGCTGTCAAGCACGTCGTCGCAGACCCTGGCGGCGGTACCTGACTCCTGCAGCCAGCGCTGCCCCGCAGTCTGCCGTGAAGGCTCGGTTCATGCCCCGAACCACCAACATCTTGCTGCCTTCAGTGGCTGGAAAACGATTGCAAGCGCTGTGAAGGCGGCGTGGGCACGAGTGGTAGAGCCTGCAGGGTAAATGTATATCCCATCAAAGACGGACACTGGAAGGGACCTGCCCCATGCTCCCGCAGAAAGGTCCACGTGGTTTAACTCCGACGCAGAGGTGGTGGTCAAGGCACCCTGGAGAACAAAGTCCTACCCAAACGCGGAAAGTAGAAATACGCGTGGTCCTTGATACGTTAAATATAAAAATGGCAGTAAACCAAGTCAAAACCGAAAGAGGACCCTACGCACCCACTGACCAAGATGAAGCCCCAAGTCCGAGGGCATGCCCTCGTTCAGATGGAAGGGAGAAGCCTTCCAGGGAGTCCTTGGAGCTGGTGGGCAATCAAGGAATGGAAGGACCGCTCAGAAAAGCGAAGACTCTAGTGGATGGGCTGAAGGTTGTCTGGCTGTAGGCGGGAGACGCAGGGGGCTTTCCCAGCGGGGGCCTGCCGAGGGGGGGGCATGGGGGTAGGACTCAAGCCGAAGCATTGGCAGAGGAGGTGGTGGGATGGGGTGTTCAGTGAGCACGAGCAGGGGGCTGGGCCCGCACCCCAAACTGCTGGGGGACCTAGGAAGAAAAGGCCAAAGCTCTCACCTGTAGCCTCTCATTTAAAGTTCTCCCCCCATCAGGGAAGCGCCCAAAGCGTGACTGGGGCTTGAAGGCAGGTTTCTTTCCAGAGAGCTACCAGCTGGTGACCACGAGGTCTTTGCCACGCTGGTAGAAACTCTAGTGAAGCCGTGAGACATAAACAACTGTGATGTGCTGGAAGGGCCAGTGGCTGATGGGTGAGGAAGAGGAGGGATCCTGACTTCAGGTGTGCTGGGAGGCTTCTGAAGGAGTCAGCGAGTGTGGGGACCAGGAAGCTGGAGTTAATCCAGCCTGCCTGGGGTTCCAAAAACCTCTTGATGTGGTCCTTCACGAACACCATCAAAGCAGCTGGAGGGACACAGGGTAAAAGGGAGGTGCCTGTTGGGGTCTGCTGAAGGTCACGATCCAAAGTGTTTGGGGCTGTAGCTGGGAGAGCGGGCAGTGTTGAGCTGCAGAGGGGCCTGGTGAAGCAGAAATACGAAGTGGGACGGTGGGAAGGAGGAATTGCTGACAGCGATGGCTGCTGGACCAGCTGGGGTCCCACAACTTGGACATCGCTGCTGCCGGGCGATTGTCCTGTGAAAACACGGGTTCCGTCCCAGCGAGGTGGGATGGAGGAGCCCCTGCAGAGCAGGACCGCGCTGCCGTGGGGGGCTACGTGTGGGACAGGGCGAGGACATGCTCACGGGGAGGCAGCGGCTCCAGTCTGTACCTGTGCTTTCTCCCCAGCCACTTCTCCTCTCTTTGTCTAAACCTCCCCCCTACCTTGATCTCATGCTGGGGGGTTTGGGCCCTCTCCCATCAGGGCCAAGGCTGCCCAGATGTCTCCCTGGGCAAACAAAGGAGGAGGAGGAGGTGTAAGGGTATAAGGCCACGGGAGCCCTTCCCTGCAGTGCAGCCCCAGGGTGCTCCCAAGGGGCTTCCCTGCTCCGCAGCTCCATCCACAGTGGCCGCCATTCCCACGTCTGCCGAGCCTTTCCTCCCCCCCCCCCCGTTCCGGGCATGTTGGATGTTTCCGGCTCAGGAGGCAGGAGAGGTGGCTCGTGGCACTTTGTTTAAAGGGATGGAGCAGTCACGGGCGCAGCCCGCCAGGGTTACCCACCCTGCGGGAGCGTAAAGGATGTGACGGGGGGGTTCGTAGGATTCTGCAATGCCCGAGGATGTGGAGGCTTTGTGTCCGTGAACAGCTCTGTTACAGTTCCTACTAGTGAGGTAAATAACGCTCAGGAGGAGTAAAGCAAGTGTCTGTGTATGCAATTTATTTTTTAGTATTAGCAGCAGGTGTATCTGGTTCATTCAACGTGTTATGGCACGGTTCATTAAGCCGCCCCCGGCAGCGGGGGCAGTTGACGACGGGG